TTATAATCCTCCATTAAAGAAATGAAAAAAATAAATGGGAGGTAGCGCTGAATTCAATTCTAATTTAACACTTTGGTGTCTGGTGTTTGTGACCACTGCATGTTGAAATCGTTAGCCGTTGCTGATGATGGGGGGGGGGGGGTCGCAGGTGTTTAGGTGACCCCCCTGTCTAGTTCTTTCATCAGGATCACTGCCGTTGAGTAGTAATCCCTCCCGATACGGAAAGCAGTTTCTTTATACCGCTGGCAATGCATGTGGTGTTACGACCTGCAATTTCATACAGGTCACAGGTACATAAACTGCAAAATGGAGGGGAAGTCTCTGGATGTAAGTTCTCCTACACCTGTTCTGCACGTTGAGATTGACAGGTGACCCTCACTGTCATCCAAGAGTAGTGTTGGGAGCGTGAGTCGAGTGATATACTTTTGACCAGCGCCCCACACGTCACCTTTCAGGGAAGGGGTGAAGAGGGGTCGGGGAAAGTGATTAAGCGGTAGCTAGACTGACCCTACCGTTAAACAAGCAGGGAGGCCGGCAATCAAACTAACACTTTAGAGGGTTGGGGGGAAAAGGCGGGAAAAAAACGGAGTGAGAAACTTACCCTACCCTAGTTAGCCTTCCATGAAACTATTGTTACTATATTGCTCTTGCCAATCTAGAAACTTTTTCCCTCACATCCAAACCCTCTTCAACCCCCCAACTACTCGATCTTTTGCACTAGCCCCACTCTTTACTGCCAATAGTCCCGGCTTATATCTCCTCCTGAACTTCCTCCTTCCTTATTTCATACACTTTCACCTCCCTCTTATCTTGTTGTTAGCCACTTCCTCTTTTTTTCCCATCGAGTACCCTCTTACTCTAACTGTAGCTACAACTAAATAATGATCCGGAGGAATATCAGTTCCCCCTCTATAAAAAGTACAAATATAACAAAAAAAAAAACGTAGATAAAATTTTTTTTTACACGTTTTCAAATGTAAAAAAAAATATGCTACTTTTTTTACATACGTGGAACCCAAAAACCAAAACTTAATCCTTTCCAGGAGCTATTAAAAATTCGAAAATCTGAAATTGAAGCAATTTCCCCCATAAAAAATAAGGGAAAATACAATTAATCCTTCCAACCCCCAAAAAATATTCAACAAAAAATAATTTTATAGAGTTAATTACAGTTTTACTAAAACAAATTTATACGTGGACCCCCGCATAACGTGGCATCACATAGCGATTTTTCCGCATACCATTACTTTTATCGCAAATTTTTCCCGGGCATCCGATTAAAAACCCGTTTACCGATTTTCGCCCGAGAGCGCCAATGTGCCTCAGCCAGCCTCACATGTGCCGGCCGTCCATTGTTTACCCCCAGCCCCCGCGGTAACACCCAAGCTAACCGGGAATATTTCGTATTATTTCAGTATTTTTGGTGCGTTTCTGGAAATAGTGACCATGGGCCCCAAAAAACTTCTAGTCCAAACCCCAACCTCAAAGGGTAAGAATTTCTTTGAAAGAAGAAAAGATATTGATAATATGAAAAGGGGTGCGTTAGCCCCCTAGTCAAGCTGTAAAAAAACCCCAATCAAACCTCGCTACTTTGTGGGACCAGAAAAGGGGGGGGGGGGGGGGGGGGGGTTTGGGAAAAAAAATCCCAAAGGGGAAGTGTTTTAAGTCATTGTTGGATAAATGAAAAAAAAAAGCTACAGGAGATAGCATCTCTCAAGCGTCAATGTGAAAAGGCTAGGAAGTTGCATGAGGATTTTAATTAAAAAAAAAGCCTGCAACAGTGATGATGTGAGTGAATTTAAGGCCCGAAAGGTTGGTTTTTGAGAGATTTAAGAAGCGTAGTGGCTCCATAGTGTGATAAGGGTGGGGAGGCTGCCAGTTCGGCCACAAAGGCTGAAAAATATGTGCGGAATTCAAGGAGTTTTTAAAGAAATGAAGGGGCTGAAACCTGAACAAGTGTTTAATTGTGGGTTTAAAAAGGCCCGTTCTGGGAAAAAATGCCAAGAGGCCTACATTTCTCAAGGGGAAAAGGCACCCAGGAATAAGCATGAAAGACAGGCTTACTTTTTTGATGTGTCCAAACTAGGTGATTGCAAAGTAAACCTTTATTGGTATCCTTGAAACTCCCAGGCGTTCAGGCAAAAGAATGCCCCTCAAGGAAAATTTTTGTGTGTGCTGTGGGGGCAAACGTAAGGCAGGGTACTGGGGAAATTTTTTATAACGGGTTACACCAGATTTGCCCCCAATGGAAAAATTCCCAAACTGAAAAAAATTTTAAACTTAAGTGCCCCCTGGGTTGACAACCCCCCTGGTCATCCTCAGACGTGGCAGAGCGACTTTTGGGGACATGGCTTTTTAAAGGGAAGTTTTTGCCTCCTAATACCACCCCTCCCTGCAGCCCATGGACCAGCAGGTTATTGCAAATTTCAAGAAACTGTACACAAAAGCTCGTTTGAAAAGGGGCTTTGTAATGCCTCAGAAACTCAACTGACTCTAAAAAAAGTTTTGGGAGGATCATTTTAAAATTTCCCCAATTGTGTAAACCCTTTAGGTAAGGGTTGGGAGGGGAAATGCTAAAGACCTTGAAAATTGCTTTGGAAGAAAAAGTGGCCAGAATGTGTAGACAAAAGGGATTTTGAAGGGTTGAGGCTAACCCCGAGAATCCCGTGCCATTGAGGGAAAAAATTGTGGGATTGGAAAGTCCTTGGGGTTTGGAGGTTTGTGGGGGGATGTGGAAGAGTTGGGGAGGGGGACATGAAGAACTAACCCTGATGAGCTGATAGATCAACTTCAAAAGGGAAGAGGCCAGACCTGGGGAAATGGTTCAGAGGAGGGGAGAGAGAAATTTAAAAAGTTGCCCACTACAAAGATAAAGGAAATTGTGCTAGTGGCTTGAAAGGGAAACCCCTTTATGGATGAAAATCACCCTCACACGCTATTGCAAGCCCTGCTGGTGATTTTTACACTGACAATGTTGTGAAACACTTTGGGAAGTCAAAAGGAACGAGAGGTCAGGCCACTATGGACAGATATTTTTGTGCGAAAAAAAGTCCGTGACTCTAAAAGCGGGCCCAGTGGCATTAAAAAAAAAAAAGGGAAGAAAAACCCCAAAAAAGGACTTACTACCTCAAGCCAAAGGGAAAGGGTTCCCTTCTAAACAGTAAAAGTAATGTTTCCCCCCTCCTCCACCCATCAATCCCCCAGATTTCAATAAAAGTAAGTGTCTTTTTAATTTGTGAGCCTTTTTCAGTTTGGTGTTTTAAAAAAATTAACTTTTTATGTGGTAAAAAAAATTTTTTTATATTTTTGGGCGTCTTGCAGGGTTTAAATTTTTATTTCCATTATTTTTTAGGGGGAAAATTCTTCGCATAAGATTATTTCGCATAACAATTATCCCTCTTGCAGGGATTAAAATCTTTAAACCCGGGGTCCACGTAGTTTTTAATTTGTATAGTAATACATAAAAATAACATTTTACTTTCCTTTATTTAAAATTGGGGATGGCATTGGAAGATGGGAGGAGGAGAAGGGAGTTGGGGTTATGTTTGGAAGGGAATCCCCCCCCATAGGACTTCAGGTAAAAACCCCCTCTGGGGTTACTTCCCTTCTCTGTCTTTTATGCCCCTAGGACCCGCTTGGAGTCACTGGGCCCGTCTCACAAAATAACTGTCCACGGTCCTTGTTTTGGCGCCTCTTTAACTTTTTCCCCAAAAAGGGACATGGTTCTGTCACTGAATTGTTTTCAAAGATGGCTTGTTTTTAGCTTTCAGGGTGGTACTTCTGACAAACATTTGGAATCTTCCACTTTACAAATCTCCTTAATCTTTGGAAGGGACCTCATCCATCCCCACTTAACACCTTTTGCAACCCAGCTTCTTGTCTGTTCTTTTTTTTTGGGGCAGGATAGAACCCATGGTCGGGCTTGTTTTTCCCATACATCCCGGAAGCCCAAAAAAGTCTCACACCACTCTCATACTTCTGTATTATTTCCTCTTAATCTATGGGTTTCTTTTCCCCCCCTTTCTTTACCAAAGGGGGTACCACTGCAAGTTTCTTTGGGCCCATGGCAGCTTATTTAAAGTTCCACAAGCCTAACACAACAAAATAGTCTTTAAAATGCGGGAAGAGAGCGCGGGTTAGTGTTCCCCTCAAGCATAAACAAAGTGATGCTCACGGCCCCTGCGCGAAGATGCGGACGAGCGGGCTAGCAGACAGGCCCCCGTACACAGCGGTCCAAAAAATGGGGGGCGCGTTCGATAATGGGGACACTTTGCCCGAAAAAAGGTCCTTTTTTCGAAACTTTAAAATTGTGATACGTTCGTTTTTTGGGGTTTCCACTGTACTATCAAATTTTGAAAAACGTAATACGTTTGGACCTTAAAAGGTTAAAATTCAATATATTAAATTTAAAAATAAGATTAGTGCAACATATAAACTAAAAATTTTTTATTGAATTTTCTAATCTTTTCATATCCCCAACCTTGTTCCCAACAAGTGCTACTTTATTGAGAGGGTTGGCCCATGCGAACTGAGATATTTGAAACATCTTTTGGGATTAAAAAATTTTCAAGGGAAATTTGTAAAAATTGCCAAAGAATTTCACATGTTGGGTTTTGGTTATCCCAGTGAAATTTGCCCCTTGCTAAGCACTACTTAAGCAAATGCATACAATCAAGGAAAAGTACACAGGGACCAAAATAAAACAAAATAATGGGAAAGTAATATTGTGGATGCAGAGAAAACTATCACTCTACCTGGTGGTACATCAAATTACCAGGTAGTCTGCCAGACTACCAGGCTATTTATCAAACTACCAGGTAGTATTGCAGTGAAAGTAATATATTCAGGGAAAGCACTAAGCCCATAAGAGTTATACACTGTTATACAAGAGAGAGGTGGTGGTGCTGGAGTGAAAACACAGCTGAATAAGAGAACTATCAGTAGGAGAAAAAATCAGAATTTACGTCACTAATTACACCAAATGAAGTTAGTACAATTACCCTTTATGTGCAGAAGTCATGTGGAACTTTCTGGCTCTCTGGTTGTAAAATGCCACTCCACAGGTAAGGCAGGGAAATAACTGCTTTGGAGCTGTGCCAGGATGAGTTAGCAAGTGCTTATCACGATTTAACTGCAAGTAACAAATAAGAACATAAGAATGGAGGAACACTGCAGAAGGCCTACTGGCCCATGCGAGGCAGGTCCTTATCAAAACGACCTCTACCTGAAGCTACCCAAGAAATAACTCCCGTACCCAATGGCACCAATCAAACCCAGCCCCTCCCAAGTCTATCTTCATACGGGAGGTTCCTTACAAATAATTAAGTGGTTATCATTCGTGAATACTGTATATATTTCTTAAATATTTATTATAAGTTTAATAGGCTAACAAAACCATAAAAATGCAAGAAATGGTGATTACTTAGGTACGTATATAATAATAACCATAATTAACACTTCCACTTATTATACAGATTGCGGCCTAAGTCATATTACCGAGATAACCATAAATATATTTGGCAGCACTGATATGGCAACAATTATTCATTATGTTGGGTGCAGCAGTGCACTGACAAGCTGGTGGTTTCACAGAAATTCCACTCTGCGGTACTGACCCTCGTTTGTGTTTTACAGGGTTGAAGAATGAACAGAAAATTAGAACCCTTTGAGGCATCATTTATTTTGCACTGGGTGTTTGGAGCACTAGGTAATTTGTGGGGAAAAGGTCCAAGCCATAGATCTATACCTTGTCCATAGTTCACCGTCTTTGCAGAGGCCATAGTTCTATGCCACGAGCTCAGTTCACTCAGATAAGCTGTGAGCGGTAAATCTGGGCCTAGATATGAAAGACTGGATCTATGTGGTAAGTGTGCACTATATAAAACAAATCCCACAGCAAGCAGTGCAAAGTGAGAAAAAAAAACTGCAACCGTGTCTGGATTAAAACACCGAATTTGTGGTGTATTTTCATATGGTTTTAACAGTTGTATTTATGGTTTCATTTCATTTCATTTGATAGAATGGAAGATATATTACAAAAATAGAGATGATTTTGATTGGTTTTAGTACTGAAAATAGCTTGAAATTGAGCTCAAAGTAGCAGAAATGTTCAATTTTTGCCGATGTTTAAGAGTAAACAAATGACGTCACACGTCCAATATATGTCAACTGGTGGGTTTAACCCTTTCACGGTTGGTGCTGTACAAGTGCAGCTTGCACACCAGGGTTGGTGCCATACTAGTACCCATAAATTCTAGCACCTTCAAATCTAGTGAGAAAGCTGGTAGGCCTACATATGAAAGAATGGGTCTATGTGGTAACTGTGTGCAGTATAAAAAAATTCCTGCAGCACACGGTGCATGAGAGAAAAAAAACTCCGACCGTGTTTTTGGTTTAAAACAGCGACTTTGCACTGTATTTTTGTATGGTATTTATGGTTGTATTCTAGTTTTCTTAGTCTCATTTTATAGAATGGAAGACACAATACGGAAATTGAGATGATCTTGATTGGTTTCAAAATGAAAAGTACCTTGAAATTGAGTTCAAAGTAGCAGAAATGTTCGATTTTTGCCAAAGTTCAAAAGTAAACAAATCATGCCAAGCGTCCAATACACATCAACTGGTGAGTCTAATATTCTTCCACAAGTGTGCTAATATTATTTATACCATTTCTACACTAATGCAGTAGTCTGCATAACAGTAAAGCTTCTATTTTTTGTGAGAATAAAAATTCAAAGTGGAAAGCAAAAGAAATATAACAGAGGCCTGGGGACGTGACTAATGAACAAAGGAAATGTTATTTTACGCCAGGAATGTCTGTCTTGTTTATTCTGGACCCTATTCAGAAATTGGCATCTTTTGAAATTTGTGTGAAACTGGCAAAATTACCAATTTCTGACCACTTCATTGGATAGTTGAAATCAGCAAATGGGTAGTTTCTTGTACTCATTTAATAGAAAAAATGGAGTTCTAGTAAAATAGGTATGATTTCTGTCAACTGGTACATTGAAATTGGCCGAAAATAGGGCTCTAAGTGGGCAAAATCGCCGATGCGTAAAAATCGTCGAGACCGCTAACTTCGTGAGAGCGTAATTCCATAAGTTTTCCATCAAATATCATACTTTTAGTGTCATTTTGATTGGGAAAAGATTCTCTATCATTTCATAAGAAAAATAACTATTTTTTTTTCGAAAAATTTCCGACCCTGAGAACAAGTTTAACCCTTTGGGGGTCGCCAGGCCCTCTCAGAGACTTGTTCTCAGGGTTGCCAAAATTTCAAAACAAACAAAAAAATTATTTTTTCTTATGAAAAGATAGAGAATCTTTTCCCAATCATGAGACCAAAAGTATGAAATTTGATGGAAAACTTATGGAATTATGCTCTTGCGAAGTTAGTGATCTTGCAATGTTTACGTATCGGCGATTTTGCCCACTTTGAGCCCTATTTTCAGCCAATTCCAGTGTACTAGGCAACAAAAATCATAACTATTTTGCTAGAACTCCATTTTTTCTATTGAATGAGTACAAGAAACCACTCATTTCCCAATTTTAACTATCCAATAAAGTGGTCAGAATTTAGCAATTTTGCCAATTTCACACAAATTTCAAAAGATGCCAATTTCCAAATAGGGTCCAGAATAAACAAGAAAGACATTCCTGGCACTAAAATAACATTTCCTCTGTTCATTAGTCATGTCCCCAGGCCCCTCTTACATTTCTTTTGCTTTCCACTTTGATTTTTTATTCTCACAAAAAAAATAAGATTTACTGTTATGCAGACTACTGCATTAGTATAGAAATGGTATAAATAATATCTGCGCACTTGTGAAAGAATCTTAGACTCACCAGTTGACGTGTATTGGATGCTTAGCATGATTTGTTTACTTTTGAACTTTGGTAAAAATCGAACATTTCTGCTACTTTGAGCTCAATTTCAAGGTACTTTTCATTGTAAAACCAGTCAAAAATCATCTCAATTTCTGTAATATGTCTTCCATTCTATAAAATGAGACCAAGAAAACTAGAATACAACAATAAATACCATACGAAAATACAGTGCAAAGTCGCTGTTTTAATCCAAAAACACGGTCAAAGTTTTTTTTTCTCATTACGCACTGTGTGCTGCAGGATTTTTTTTATACTGCGCACACTGACCACATAGACCCATTCTTTCATATGTAGGCCTACCAGCTTTCTCTTGCTAGATTTGAGGGCGCTAGAATTTATGCGTACTAGTACGTCAAAAACCCTGGTGCGTAAGCCGTACTAGTACGGCCGAAACCCCCAAAGGGTTAGGAGAGGACCTGCCAACCCTAAAAGGGTTAATATACATTCAAGAATGCGCTGATATTATTTATACAATTATTACAATATTGCATAACAGTAAATTTTCTATTTTTTTTGGTGTGAATAAAAATTCTTTATGCAAATAAAAAATAAAAATGGAATTCATCTGTAAAGCCTGGAAATGTAATAAACAGAGGAAATGTTATTTTAGTGCCAGGAATGCCTGCATTGTTTATTCTGGACCCTATTTTGAAATTGGAGAATTTTGAACTGTGTGAAATTGGCAAAATTACCAATATCTCATCACTTTTTTGGGTAGTTGAAATAGATGAATGTGCTCAAACGATAAAATAGAAATACAGTGGTCCCTCGATAATCGTAAAGCTTGATAGTCGTAATTTTCAAAAATCGTAACATTTTCATCAAAACATTGGCTCGCAAATCATCATTTGACTTGCAAATAGTCGTTCGTCTGGGACACATACACACAGCCCCAAGCTGCCTCACACTCCATTCCCAGCCAGTGTGCCATTGTTTATCAGTGAGTGAGGATGATCTCACGAGTTCATACGATACATTTCATAATATTCCATTTGTTTTAGTGCTTGCAGCTGCTAAATAAGTCACCATGGCTCCAAAGAAAGCTTCTAGTGCCAGTGCTTTGGTAAAGAATGTGAGAAACACATATAATTTAAGAAAAAGTTTGTAGAAAAATATGAAGGTGGTGGTGGTAGAGTGGAAGCAGTTGTGATAGTGGTAGAGGGTGGTAGTGATGGTGGTAGAGGGTGCTAGCAGTTGTGATAGTGGTGGACAGTGGTAGTGATGGTGGTAGAAAGTGGTAGAGGGTGCTAGCAGTTGTGATAGTGGTAGAGGGTGGTAGTGATGGTGGCAGAAGGTGGTAGTGATGGTGGTAGAGGGTGCTAGCAGTTGTGATAGTGGTAGAGGGTGGTAGTGATGGTGGTAGAGGGTGCTAGCAGTTGTGATAGTGGTAGACGTTGGTAGTGATGGTGGTAGAGGGTGCCTTCAGTGATTCAGCGATTCTACCAACTCCTCCAATGTTGTTAGAGTTATATAGGGCTACAGAAAACACCACCGCCTCAGCTGCTGCTTCACCACCATTATGGACGGCTTACCCTCAGTGGCCCTTATACACCCAACAACAACACAACACCTCTCGTGACATACATGACTTATTTTATTCATTCTAGAGAATATTCCATGTTTCTATGTTATTAATATTGTTTATTATGTCATATTAGTTGAATTGTGATAGATAAATAAGTCGCAGAGTTGATACAGATCCACCATCACAAATCCGGCAATCAGTCATTCGGTTCCTTCAGTTATTCAGCACTAATTTTGGCTAGCATAATTTCAAATTTCCAGGGTCGCCACACCAACCTGCTGGTACTGTCTGGTGGTGCTACTTGCTGCATAAGTCATTCCAATTTCTTTTTCTCCATTTATTGTTTTAACCTGCTCACTTTTAGCCCTAGCCATGGTTCCAGTGAATAAAAGAAATGCTTCTCATTATGTAAAGCACCTACACAGTACATTATCCATTAAAGATAAGGTGGCTTTGAAGCCACTGTCGGTTGCCATGAACTCAGTCTCATGAAGCAGGAGAATATGCTTTATTATTATGCTAATATCAACACTACAGCTTATTTGCCTATCACAATTGATCTAATATGACATAAGAAACAATATAAATAATATAAAACATGTTAAATACTCCAGAATGAATATTTGGCATAACACCAAGCAGTTCGACAGAGTTATGTAGAGGATATGGTAAACAAATACCATTCTCCTATCCCTGTCTTGGTGGCTTATATTAGAGAA